ATTGAATAGAATCACGGAATCACAGAATGCTTTAGGCTGGAAGGGACCTCTAGAGGTCACCTGGTCCAATCTCCCTACACAAGCAGGGACATCTCTACCCAGGTGAAGTCTCCCAGGGCCCTGTCAAGCCTGACCTCAAATGACTCTAGGGTTTGGGCCTCTACTACCTCTCTGGGCAGCCCATTCCAGTGATCTGTTACTCATATTAAAGATTTTTTTTTCTAATATTGAGTCTAAATCTAACCTTTCCTAGTTTAAAACCGTTACTCCTTGTTCTAGCATTCCAAACCCTTTTTAACAGACCTTCCCCTGCCTTCATGTAGGCCCCTTCAGGTACTGGAAGGTTGCTATAAGGTCCCTCCAGTGCTTCCTCTCCTCCAGGCTGAACAACCCCAACTCCCTGCTGTGCTTTGGGCAGTCACTTCATTATAGAAGGCCACTAGGTTGGTCAGGCAGGACTTGCCCCTGGTACATCCATGCTGACTAGGCGTCTAGGTTGGTCAGGCAGGACTTGCCCCCAGTAAATCTGTGCTGACTACCTAGGATTAGCCCCTGGCCTCCATGTGCCTTAGCATGTCTTCTGGGAGGAGCTGTTCCATGACCTTCCCAGGCACAGGGCTGACAGGGCGGCAGTTCCCAGGGACCTTTTTTATACCCTTTGTAAAGATGGGCATGATGTTACCCTTTTTTCCAGTCACTAGGGACTTCACCTGACTGCCAGGACTATTGAGGCTAGAGAGGTGCCTCCAAACCCATGACACTTTGCTGCATACAAAAATGCAGTGGAGAGGAGAGGAGAGGAGAAGAGAGGAGAGGAGAGGAGAGTGGCAGAAGGTGGTGGGTAGGTCCTCTGACAGGGACCTCAGGCACCCTCCACCCTGTTGCCTAACAATGGGGCCAGCGTCGTCCCAGGAAACACCTTCATGGAGCCCTGCTCTCCTGCTAATGACCAAAGAAACTCTATGTAATTCTCCTCCTGCTGACACCCCTGTCTCACGGATTACCGCTGACTGAGAGAGCTTTAGAAGTCTGGGGCAGGTACACATCCTGTCCCTGGGAAGCAAAGCAGACAGCTGCAGACTGGAGACGTATACTGCCATCACGCTACCATATTCCTCCACTGGTCCCTCCAGCTCCCACTTCCAGCCATCAGGGTAAGAGCTAGACTGGTTTCATTGGGCAGGAGCATGTGCAGGTGATGTGCATTTGACCAGCCTCACAGCAAGAGGGGATGTTGTGCAGGGTGAGCTGAAAGACCATGGAGGCTTGTGCCCTGGGATTGGGGAGCTGGGTAACAGTATGGAGAGCAAAGCTATCTACTGAGAGGCAAACATCTGGGATGTCTGTGGCTCACTTGATGCCTGCCCTCAATGAAGGAATGGAAGATATAGACCATGAGCATTAAACGTGAGACCACAGAGTGTGGGCGCACTAGGATATGTCAAGTGGGGTCTGCCCTGGACAGCGAAGGTCATGGCAGTGCTGTACTGATCTCTCTGACCTAGCCTTGCTTCCTAAAGGGGCCTGGAGGTGTCTCGATGTCATGTTCATTTAGTTTGATGGAGGAGCAAGCTGTCCTTGTCCACTGTGAGGAGCTCCTCTGCTGTGCTGTCTGCTCATGCTCCTCTCAGCCTCTGGGGAGAAGTTAATACTCCACCAGCAGGGCTGAAGCTAATAGAGTGACGATGTTGCAGATGTTGATTAGCAGAATTAAGAGAGAAATGAGCTCCTGGGTGCAGAGGAGATGTGCACTGTCAAACTGAGTCAGAGAAGTTATTCCTTGCAGAAGTACGACTGCCCTGGAGTCCCCGGGTGCTCATCCTTCCTAGGGCTGCTCCAGCAGGACCCAGGAGGGTTGGTCCCCTGGCTTGCCAGTACTGTGGGTATCAACACCAGCACAGTTAGTGGGTCTTGACTGTGCTAAAATTTTCCTTTCCATACAGAGGCTTTTATTGCTAGTGATGAAAGTGTACCCATCTTAGGGAATAAAATGGTTTTGGTTTAGCAGGTGGTTGCTTAATGTGCAGTGGAAAACATGGTAAAAATCATTGTAAGGTCAGTGTCGAGTGAAGTTTCACCCTGTGAGCAAGTTGAGGTAAATAAACATTATGAGGCAATGCAGAGCTAAGTGTGATCAGCTAACACTCTTCTAAGAAACCTTATGGGATAGCACCTGTAAGAAACGAGTTAACTCATTACTGTGATGGGCTACTGCTGGCACATGAACAAGTGTTGGCTTTGAGAATTTGGCTGAAAACTAGATGAAAGTCTCTAATCTCCAGAGCAGCAAGTCTTGGCAAAAGGCTTTCAGCAAGAGGAGTTTGGGCAAAAAGCACTTGCCCCTAATGGAGACTGGCCAGGTCACGAAAGGGAAGATGTGCTATATTTGCCTGTGTTGATAGGGGACTGTATTTGGGGACCCCAAAGACCTTTATCGGCACTTAAGGTATGAGAAGCCATGCAAGTACAGACGGGTCATATTGGGCAACGGGCTGATCTTCATGGTCCAACCCTTGGCTGACTCACATGGGCTGACTCGAGGCTGTGCTCCCTCCAGATCACCCCCTCTGGGTTCTGGGGGGACGGGCAGTCCCGCTCAGCTGGCGGTAGGTACCACCACGTGGGTGTGCAGGCTGAAGCTGGCCACGCCGCGGCCCCGTACGGGCACTGGAGGGAAACTACCAGCATCCAGCTGACTCATAGGCCTGACCTCAGATGCTGATTTTAGGTGGAGACGAACTGCCCTTTGGAGCTGCCTGTTGTTCTCTGCCAGTAGAAGGTGGAGGGTGACAGACTCAGGCTCACATGCTTTGGGTTTGTGTGCTGCCAGAACAGAGGAGCCCTGCCCCACAGGGCCTACACAAAGGTGTTTGGCTTTGTTGTTGTTACACTCCTTGAACACTGGCAGATAATTTCTCTTTAATGTCTAAAAATGCCCAAAGGAACCCTAAAACTAAAGGGTTCTTACATTTTCAGCAGCCAACAGATGAACCTTTCTAAATACTTTTAAGGGAGAAATTAATGTCTCAGTGCCACCTTGTGGAATATTCAAGGACAAGCAGTGGTAACAGACACATCAAGTGGTGAATGACGCCATCCCAGAAGCATGCTTGGAGTTTTAGGGAATTTGATGTTAATATCAGGGATTATATTGCAAACGTTACCACCAGACTGAAGACTTCTATTGCAAACTGGGATTGCCTTTTTCCTTGAAAAGACTTCAAATTCACAGGAATGTTCCCAGGAAGTACCTGTCCATTTTTCAGTCCTAATCAGAACATGAGGATACCTATAGTTAATGCTTGAAGGCAGGAGACGAAGCCTTTCAGAGACACAGCAGCTTTTTTGTTTGCCCACAGGTGAAAGAATCCACTTGGAATGCTCCCTGAGACCTATGAGTAAAAAATGAAATTGTAGGTACAGTTGAGGGGATAGTGACCCACACACCTCACCCACTGTGAGATCTCAAATACGCACTGATGCCAGGACCTCAGCTTTACACATCAGCTGGAAATCATCATGGACAGAGAAAACTAGAGGCTCCTGTCACTGCCATGACCTGCTGCTCCAGGGCCTGTGTCTGTGTGCTCCACCAATAAACATTTGCATGGCACAGAATTAAGTGAATTGGAAAGATTTATCAGCCACTTCTTCTGTGCCACAGCATGGCTCACAGACTCATAGGACAAAAACTTTCCCACCTGGAAATATGCAGTAGGAACACCCTTGCCACCAGCATGATCATCATCTGTTATAATCAGATGGTCCTTAGTATCAGGGACAGGTTAGTAAATTACTGCATACTTAGCCAGGCATTTACTGAGGTCAACAGCTAATCTGCCACTGGAGGAGAGCTTACCCCAGCCCATAAAACCTTTCCCTGTCACAAGATAGACAATCACCTGTGGAGTAGAGAGGAGAAGCAGTTGCCCACGTTCAGACATACAGCTTCATAGTGTCCTGGGGTTGAAAGAAAAGTCTGTGAGCTTTTGTAACACATTAGTGAAGAGGGAAGCCATACCAGGGGCTGCATGAGCAGAGCCCTGTGTCCCCACTGGGGCAGCTGCTGGTAACCTCTCGAGAGCTGTGCACCATGTCCCCTCCAGAACTGCACTGACAAGCTGTAGCAGGTTGAGAGGAAGGTGAAGAAAACCAGCAAAGAAGCAGACAAAGCTTGCAGAAAAAGGTCTTGAGTGTTTACGGGGTTTAAGTTTTTCAGTGATAAAGCAAAAGTATTAAAATCATTTCACAGTGGAGAAGCAGGGGGAATCAGGAGATGGAGGGAGAACTGGGACAGTTAGGGCTCTGCTCTATCAGCTAGGTGAGATTGAAGGTCTCTGGGGACCACTGCCGAGTCTGGTCTCTCTTTGCCCCACAGAAGAGGACAGAGAGGTGGCAGGCAGGCTTTCCACTGGTGTGATGGGTGCTGTGGACCCAGGTGCATTCAGCAAGAGCAAATATTCAAGCTGAAGCAACGTTCAAGGCACTGTGCTCTTCCCATCTGCAGACAGTGCTGCACACCAGCTCCAGGTAGAGCATCTTCACCACAGGCTGGGCATCCAAATACACCTGCAAAGCACAAATAAATGGTCCTCAGTCCACCTGTTAAAAAGTGGCACCAAACCAACCAACCAGAGGGTCATAATGCAGAGCAGAGCCAAAAATCCTGTTACTTTCCTGTGGAAAAGGTTACAGAGAAAGACAGGCTTCAGGAGCACACCAAGGCTATTTACAGCTCCACCATGCTGGAGATAGGCTGCTCCTGGGCAGAGGCATAGTGTTTGCAATGCCCTGGTACAAGACATATTGCATACTTACCATATAATTCCATACATTTTAAAAGGATGTCATGTGTGTGTGGGAAGACTTGGAAGCTAGCTGCTAGTTTATTGGCTTGTTCATTGTTAACCAAATGACAGAAGGTGTCTGGGGGTGAGGGGAGGGTGCCAGGTTTCAAAGGGCAACTTAGCTCAATGCAATGAAGTGTGCTGCCACAACAGGAGTTCCTGCAACTCCAGGCTGGAGCCAGAGAGCAAAATGCTGGAGAAGATTCAGAAGGCACTCACGACTTGTAGCTGCACCGTGAGGGAGCTGCTGGCAGAAGCACTGGGGATGTTCATCCTCATGGTAAGGAGGAGAAGGGCTCAGACATGCCTGTCTGTGCCTGTGCCTTGTGCATGCGTGTGTGCAGGGTGGGTGAGGGGGGGCAGAGCCCTTGCAGCAGCAATTTGTAAGGTCAGTGGTTTCCTACCACATCTTCATGGTTGCTCAGCAGCTGGTTGCTACTGATCACTGCTCTGCTCTGGTGGGACGGCAGCTTCCCGGCAGGTCGACCATCTGTCAAAAACCTTCTGAAGGAAAAAAGCAATGCAGAGGGTGGGAGGTGGGTGCAGGGAGAGGGTGAGCAGGTGGGATGAATTGCTGTCTCAGTCCTATGAGAAAAATGAGGAAGACTCTAGGAACAAAATTAAAGAGCAGTGTCTGGTCAGATGAGGCAATGCAGTGCTTCTGCCAGCCTCCTTGAAAGATCCCATGCAGTGAACTGAGGTTTTGCTCCTGCTGTGCCAGAGGCAGTGGTGTAGCTGGAGGTCCTGCACAGGTTTGGGGAGTAGACCCTGACTCCTCTCCCCCTGACAGCTTCTGTGAAATGAGAACAGCTTTCACCCATCTTCCTCTTGGGGCTGCCACGGTAATAAGCACCCGTGAAACTCTCTGAAGCCACAACCCACCATTAGGAAGAGTAATTACCAGGTATAAAGTATGCCAGCATTTCACTTTTGGTTTTCTTATGGTGACAAATGAATAGTGCTTATCCAAATAACACAGAAACTCCCCCCTTGTCTGAGGGATCTGTTTCACACAGAAAGAGCGACATGGTTTTGGGGTCTTGGGGTGCTTCAGAGGTATTTGGGAAGAGGATGAGGAAAGCTTTGCAGTCAGAATTGATCCCTGGTGGGGTGAGATAGCACTGATACCGGAGAATTCGTGTGTTGGATCAACACAGCAAAACGAGATCCTCCCTCTGAAAAGGTCCTGCAACTGTCTGTGCCTTACTACACCTGGGCTTAGCCTGGGCTGAGACACTTTGGAGTGGACAGAGGCTGACATGGAAGGGCTGGGGATAACCCAGATAACTTGTACTTGGCGATGTGCACAGGAGGAAAATAAGATTTGTGTAAATATGGGGACCTTTTGACATAGCTGTCTGTGCAAATAAAGGCATTTATTTTCAAGGGCAACCACTGCATGTGCAAAAGATGCTTCATTTTTATCACTTCTCGTTGCACATTCAGCTCCCTGAAGTTCAGTGCTACTACACAGAGTACAGACACCTGTGGGTCCTCAGCAGGAGCTGAGAAAACCATTTGCCTTTTCCATCCACTTTGGTTTTTTGGTGGTGGTAGTTCCCAGGTGATAAAGAAGTTCAGAAGTGTCCTGCTGACTGTGGAAGCAGCATGAAGACTTTCCTCTGCACTCCAACAGCCCAAGGAAGATTTTGTAGCCTGCAGCTCCTGTTGGCTCTTCCCTCACTGATCCTAACGAGGGCATAGAGTAGGAGGAGGGACACTGCACATGGACCCCCACCAAGGACTAGCAACAAACAGCATCCAGCATCCAACTCTTCAGCAGCTCCCTGTCCCTCAGTGCAACTAGGGACATGCTGGACTCATCCACTGGGTGCCTGGGTGGCTGTTATTTGGGCAACAGCTCTCAGTCCAGGGCCTCTCATTTTAATGGACATCCAGTGTTGACAAAGGAGGGAACCAGGCAGTGGGAGTATAGGATTAGGGAGACAGGGGGGAAAAAAAAGGCTATCTTGGGACTGTGAGAATAGAGGAAGAGACCAGAGGTCTGGATCTGTGCCAAAAAATAGATTCTGTGGCCTGTTCTGTGTTTTTTCAGGATATTGGTGTTCAGCTGCAAAAGCCATGTCTCCTGGCCTGCAACCCTCTCTCTATATCTGTGTGCTGTCCTGCAAGACCTATGCCATACGCATTTGGTTCTCCTGGATGTGGCTTTGGAAAAGTCAGAGATGAATAGTCAGAGTTTTTGTAAGAGCTTTGCAGATGCTGAGGGGCATCCCAAATACTGCTTTTAGAGTGTTGCTGAGGCAGGCTGAGAAAGGCTTGTCTTGTGGAGGCTGTAGCTCTGTGGTGAGCACAGAGTGTGGTCTGTGTAGAGGACAGAGATAAGAACAGTGTCTCTGGAAAACAGGGCATTTTGGTGATGTCTGAAAGGGAAGAGGGAGAGCAGATGCGTGAGATAAAATTTGGATCCAGGCAAAGTAGCCAAAAAAGATCACAGTCATAGCAGAACAGGCCAGAGCAGAAGTTTAGATACTGGAGGATATACTGACTTTTTTGTCTTGGAGGAGCATGTCACCCTTGGGTAAACACCAGTGCAGCCCAAGGAACAGGATACGCTCCCCAAGCCCTAAGCTGTTCGTGAGACAGAGACCTCAGGAGATGCTCTGTCCTTCTCCAGATTGCAGTGTAAGAGCTGTGCAAAGAACTAATTTTTCCACCCTCTGACCATGTTAAAAAAGTGAAATAGAATACACTTTTTCATGATTTTTTTTTTGTTTTGTTTTTTTCTTTTCTGATTCCCTTTTAGCCACTAAAAATATACTGAAATTTTTGGCTGTTTTCAAACTTGAAATGTATGTGCTGAAAGAAAATGTCAGGCCAGAATTTCCTTCCTTGTTTTTCACTGCAACAAGTTACCAAAATTAGAGTTATTTGGCAAATGTGTGTAGCCCAAATTAGATTTTTAGTCAATAAATTGCACACTAGGAAAAGAAAGACAAGAATATTTGCCCATCCTTCTTCTGTCTGTCTTGGGCACCATCTCTGGGCAGTCTGTGGTGATGCTCCCCTAGCTCATGTCCCTCGTTTCAGGCACTGACACCCTTACTGTGTCCATGTGAGTGATCCCCTTTGAGCCCTGGATCTTGGTGTGGGTGTTTGGGGTTTTTCTCCCCATACCCAACCATGACTATGCTGCCTGTTTCAGGGTGATGGGCATCCATGAGGAACAGCCCAGGCATTGCTTTGATTTTTTACTGGGGAGGGCTGTTCTTTTCTCATCTCCTGACCATTAGCACGTTAGAGCCTTCCTGTCCTTGGGAGTTTATTAGTATTGCAGAAAAAATACCAAAGAAGCTCAGTCCACCACAACAATAACAGTACTTTTAATACTCCTTTCTCTCTTTCTTCTTCCATGCTCTAGGTCTTTGGCTTGTCTTCTGTGGCACAAGTGGTACTAGGAAGAGGAGACTTTGGGCAGCTTCTGAGCATCAATCTGGGATTTGGCATTGGTGTTACCTTGGGCATCCATGCAGCTGGAGGAATCTCTGGTGAGGAGGACACTTGAGCGTGGGACCTCTCTATGTCCTGTAAAAGCCATGTGAACTGGTGGCAGTAGCAGTGGGCTGTGGAGGGGCAGGTGATGGCATGGCCAGGCAGAGCAGTGTCCTCACCAGAAAAAAAAGGCTGTCCTAGGGTCCCCAGGCAAGAAAAGCACAATGGGTCTGGTGATCATAAACAGGGTCAGACTTATGACCTAGTGATCACAGCCAAGTCTGCAGGAGGCAGGTCTGACACAAGCCAAGGAGTCATGATGGCATGACAAGGTCAGGAGAAGCAAGGGACAAGGCTACAGTCAGCTGACCCCAAACACATGTCCTGAGCTGAGACAGAGGCAAGCAGGACAGGGAGAGTGGTGATGGTTTGGCCATTCTCCTCCTGGTGTGGTCAGTGGAACCAGGTTTCAGGAGTGTTCCCATTAGGGCCTTGGGGTATGCCATTGTGGTCCAAGGAGACAAGGAGCTCTGGAAACATGCTGATGATATGACCCACAGGGAAGTAAATAATTTATTGCAAAGGAGAGCTTAATGCTGATGTTGCAACAAGGACTGGTATACAAATTTTCTCCTTATCATCCACACCCATGCACACACACCCTACATGAACTCAGGAGGTAGTGTTTCAGGGCCATGGGGTGGTATCTCTCACATGCCAGAAGATTACCTTTGCCTTGTGCAATTTCTGCATTCATTTGCACCAAGAGAAGAGATTAAGGGCTCTAGTGAGCAGAAAATTAAAGCAAGTCCCTGCTTTTAAATAGTTGGAACAGAGATGTCCAAGGCTGGTGCTGGCTTGGAAAGGAAATTTTTCCCACACAAGCAGTCAGCTCTTGGTCTTCCTGTCCTTTTGGAGCTGGTGAAGACATCCTGAGAAAAAAAGTGGAGGACAACAGATCCCTGCAGTCCCAGGTGCCATTTGAGATGGAGCTGATCTGCTGAGGGCTGGGAGGTGAGAGAAGGGGTCTCAGCTCAGCCAGCACCAGTCTGGTTCTGGAGCTAGCTGCATGGCTTCCTGGCTTTGTAATCTGGCTTCATTTGTGTCACAGGATCCTTCTTGTGATCTCTGAAATGGCTTGTCATGCCCACAAAGGATCAGAGGATCTAAGAAAAAGGGATGTCCCCCCATTTCAGTTGTGGCTGTGGGACTGTGGCAGGCAGTACATTCACTTTCATGACACCCTGGCCTGCATTTTGGTGAGACCATGGCTGTCTGCATCTTACCCCTTCCTCAGTCTGAAGGAGGAGGTAGACTCTAAGGTTGGAACATTTATTGACTCCCAAAGTTTACACCTACTAAGCAGGGAAAGCAAATATTTCCTTTGGACTTGGGAGGAGAGGAGGACTGGAAGACCAATGTGGTTTGCACTGAGGGCACCAAATCCGGATCCACTTAGTCTTTCTCCAAAAGCACCACTGTGATACCAGCCTGCTCCATAGAAAATGTCCCCTCAAAACAGGGAAAAACTGTATGGAAGCCACATACTGAGATGTAAGGAAGTGCAGTCCAAGACTGCAAACTCTGCAAGGGAAGGAGAAGGTCTGCTCCACACTAGTGGGATCAGCTATGGTCTGGGCAGTACTGACCATCCTGGTAGATCCTCCTTAATGCAGTGACATTTAAGAGCTAATCTGAGCCCTTGATTACAGCCTTGTGTAGGATTTCATTTGCAGGCATGAAGATATGGGACATCAGTGTCTGACTTTGCAGTTTGCTTCCCCCGTCTTGTGCCTTGCCTGCTGGACATGCTAAGAGTCCACAGCTCCCATCAGCTGTAGTGCTCAGCTCTGCCATGACGAAACCCTCCTTGTGTACTAGATGTTTTCAGAAGATCTTGCAAGTGTTTGGGTTAAGATTTGCCTCATCTACCTGTAGCTGTATAAAAGCTGAGTGATGAGTCTAAATTCTGGCCTACCTTCAAGTTGAATAGAGAGTGGTATCTCTCACAGGTGAGATGACCTACTCTCTCGAGGCCATGGTCTACAGAATTTTTAGAAGACTAAAGCTAGGAGCTCTGCATCATTCAGCTGCCCAGGGAAAATGAGCCAGTTGTGAGTTTGTGCAGGAGGGACATCCTGCCCTGAGGCAGTCTTGGTGTTCTGGAGCAAGGTCTGGGGTTGCTGTGGGGTGCGGCATGCTCCAAAACAGCCTGCAGGAGGGCTCAGGCCACTTTCTTTTGCAGGAGCTCATCTGAATGCTGCCATCACCCTTACACACTGCCTTTTAGGAAATCTCCCCTGGAGAAAGCTTCCAGCTTATCTGATCGGCCAGTTCCTGGGCTCCTTTGTGGCAGCAGCCACCGTCTTTGGCCTCTACTATGGTATGGTTGTGTCTTTTATCACAGGGGTTACTGTGGGCACAATTTCAACCTTAACTCACAGCTCAACAAAAATATTTGCTTTTACAATACCCAGCATGATGTCTGGGTGAGGAGGGTGAGTTCCTGGTTTACGGAACAGTTCTTCACAGCTCATGGGCAGAGCAGGGCTCAGCTATCTCTGGCAGGGATGTGCAGTTCCTGGAGAGGGCTGCTTCTTTTGCTCAGGGCATTCCCACTGCCAAAACTTGTCCTCAACTCAAGGCTAGTAGCTGCATTTTGTCAGCATGCTGTTTCCAGGATCTGCAAGGGCTTAAGGCAGATGGCCCACCATGTATTAGGTACAGCTAGAGCTCTGGGAGACTCTACTGCTCTGTGGAAAACAGGACAGCAGTCATCTGTGGTTTTGAGTTGTGAGCAGAGGACTCACCACCCATTGTCTCCTGCCACTCTTAGTCTCCAAGGGGCAGAGGGATGGAGTCCTCCAGTGCATCCAGAGTGTCCTTCTTGGGACAGGGACAGGGAGCTGGTAGGCATCAAGGAAGCAACTGCAGACCAAAGTCTGCAGGTAATATGTATCAGTGAGATCATGCTCTGCGAGGGGTGTGCCACCTCCATCATATCTTCCACTGCCTCTCTTCCCCTTACGTGTCCACGCTGGCTGCAATGGGTGGACTTGTGTACCTGCTGTGTGAGATGAACTCTGTGCTAACTTCCATAATTCCTGTATCTTCTAGATGCTCTGTATGACTACACAAAGGGGAACTTTACAGTGACGGGACCGACTGCCACAGCATCCATCTTCTCCACTTACCCTGCTCCCTACATATCCTTGCAGGGGGGCTTCTTCTCAGAGGTCAGTGGGGACTGTTGTGGTTTGCTAGGAGAAGGTTGGGTGGTAACCAATGCTACTGGAGGTCTGCTACAGGGGACTCACAGTGCTAGGTGTACAGATACTATCACAATTTCTGCCTCAAGGAACCCACCATCCAGGCAGATGCCTGACAGGTAGCATCCAAGGCAACTTGGTGGGTAAGCAAACGTAAAAGGTAACACCTTCAGGCTGCTCAGCAGCTTGGTCCAAGTGCCCACCAAACATCTTCCCTGCCCAATGGGAATTGAGAAGCTGATCTATACCTCCTTTGGGTTCTGTGTGGTTCCCTGAAATTTTGGATCCTGCATCCACTCCACCCTCCCATGTGGCTCTGCTGGCTGCCTCTCACTGGCACAGAGGGCCAGGGACTGTCTTCACATGCACACAACCTGTCTGGATTAAACCTCGAGGGTCTGAACAGCCCAATTTAGACTGCATATAGTTGTCCCAGCATGCAGCACAGTGTCCAGATGCCTAGAAATAGGATGGGCTGGATATTAGTCAGGAATCTTCTTCAGCCCACCTGTGAGGAGGGAATAACAGCGGGGTCCTGCCTGACTTGATCAGGCCAGGAATCCTACCTGCGCCTCCATCCTGGGAAGTCTCTTCCTGTGCTGAGCAGGATCCTCTGCTTTCCTCATTCTCTCTCCTGACTTATTCTCCCCTTCCTGCTCCTGAAGTTTCTGGCAACGATGATGCTGCTCCTGGGCATTCTGGTCATCCATGACGAGAAAAACAACGGAGCCCTGAGAGGCACCCAGGCCCTGCTCACGGGAATCCTGGTCGTGGGCATCGGCCTGGGGATGGGGATGAACACAGGATATGCCATAAACCCCTCCCGGGACCTGCCTCCCAGGATCTTCACAGCAGTTGCTGGCTGGGGAATGGAAGTCTTCACGTGAGTGACTCGTTTTGCTTCTATGCTGCTGAGCTGGCAAGGAGGGGAGATAAGGCCAAGAGAGTATGGTCATGAAGCCTTTTTTCTTTTGGACCAAGTGATGGCATCGCTGTAGAGTGCACTCTCCATTCTCAGAGGGCAAGGGTTGTGCTTAGAGCTGCCATGTGCATCTCATACACAAGATTTGGGGTACACTAATATTCCACCATGGGATTCATCTTGATGTTCAGATACCTCTGTTTGGGCACGAAACTGGGTACCTGTTAGCCAGAGATCTAGCTGGTTATTGCAGGTACTGGAGAGCCAGAGCATGATTCAGCTCACCTGAAAGCAGGTATTTAGAGCTGTATAGCCTTCCACTATCTAGTAAGATGATGCCATTCTATGGTTTTTCCCTTGGTGAGGCCATTAGCAGAGTGTTCTGTGCTGGCTGCCCATTTTCATTAAATTTCCATAAAGTATCTTTGAGACCTTGCTAGAGAAGATGCAGATGTTACTGGAAAAAGGGAGGGAAATGCTGTGTCTGCCTGTCTGTCCGGCAGTCACACTCTTCAGGAACACACAGACTATTTCTGTAGGAGAAAAAGAAATCTGCATACAGGGCAGAGCCACTTTCCCAGGCTGACGGGGAAAATGACTCTTCCTCCAGAAATTATGTGGGTGGATAGAGAATTTCTCTAAGCCACTTGTAGGGCTTGGTATGTGAGGTGGGACTAGACACTCCTGCCCACACAGCTGGCTCCTGCTGCAGCAGGGCAGCAGTTCCAGCCTGGCTCACCAGCTGCCTCTTCTGTGTTTCATTTTAGGGCTGGACATCACTGGTGGTGGGTTCCAGTCACAGCTCCAATTCTGGGAAGTCTTACTGGTGTTTTAATCTACAAGCTCTTCATCGATTTTCACAACCAACCTGTCCTGGAAATTGGAAAGGAGAAGGGACAGCCAGCGGTGGAGATTTCTACCTTGTGATGGCCACAAGCTATGAGGAAAGGGTCTGATGGCAAAAACCTACGTGGACCAGCAAAGGAAGGGTAACCACGTAGGTAAGGGCACTTGCAGTGGTGCTGCCAGAGTGCACCATTTCTACACCTGAGTGTCTGGTCTTCAATAAACCTACTCTGTTTAACCAGACAAACTGGGTTTCTGAGACACCGGGCAGACTTGGTTAGGGCCAGACCTGTCTGCAGCCTGAAGAAATTATTCAACCTCCCTGTGTAAGTATCTAACAAAAAACATGTCACCACATTCTGGAGGAAAGCAAAGTGGAGCTGCAGGACTCCACATATGCCTAAGGTCATAGAATTCAAAATACGGGATCAAACAGGGGCAGAAACAACTTAATTAAAGAAATTCTGATCTGGAATATTCATTGGTAAGTCACAGATACTAATGGATCAGGGTCCTAGGCTTTCTTCCATTTGCTCACCTGCCACCCTAACAAACACCTAGTTTGGCTGAGCACAGAGAAGCGCAAAGACAGTCTGAAATAAAAACCTGAACATGACTTTTTGTTTTTTTTTCTCCTGTGCTTAGTATGTTTGGGTTTTTTTCTTTCTTTTTTTTTCTTTTTTTCTTTTTTCTTTTTTTCTTTTGGATCTGAACATTCGGGAAACACCAAAAAATTAGTAAACTAAACTACGGTGTCTCCTGATTCCTGGCACAGCTCTGCTGGAACATGTTGGCATCATGGAACCATGCGTGTTCTTCACAGGCTAGACTTTAACTACTAGCATGAAAGAGTATTCAGACAATTTCTCTGATAGCACCCCCAAACAAACTGAAAAACCCTGCTCCTTTTCTCCACTCTGAATGCATGAGAAATGTAGGAAGAGGCTATCCTGCTCCTGCAAGAATTCTGCCATTCCATCTGAATGAGGTAGCGGGCTGGCAACAGCCTTAAATTTTGAGGTATTATCAGATTAAAAGTAAAACGGTATTGGAAGCTGCCTGTTCCCAGAGGGGTGACAACAGTCTTAACATTTCCAGAAAGTGCTTAAGTATGGTACATATACCAAGCACATGACTGTAGTACCAGGGCTGGGAATCATGAACACACAACACAGGGATTTCAGAGTAGAAAGTGACAGAACATCACTACTGCACAGAACTGCAGAAAAATGGCATTTACTGGCTTTAATAATAATTCATGTTTCACTATTGAAAGGATTACTAATGTATTACTGTGCCGTGGGGTGCACTGACACCTGCTTCTTCACAAGGGCTTATCTTATGTGAGGGCAGCTACAGCAGGTCTTCACCTGGCACAAGACACACATTGGCTTAAGAGAGCTGAAGAGCATTAGGGGATTTTCTCTCATCTGAGTGTGGCAGAAGGCAGCTGTCAGTCCATGAAGCAACTGCATTTGAGGGTGTGCCTGGCCCTGGGTGGTGCTGGAAGCCAGCAAAGCACACCAGAGCTGGGGCTGATGGCTGCAGAGTTTTTTAACAGTGAATGCAGGACACAAGTGGAACAGCTGTCACACAGCTGAGTCTTTTGGTTTATGTGAACTAAACTGGGAACTTCAGAGTAGCTGAAGACAGGATTAGCTAAAAGACACAGTACCCCATCCCTTCTCGGTGAGAGACTCTCCACTGCATTAAAACAGCCCCAAACAAGCCAGCCTGCACCTTGCTCTTACCATAAATTCTTGTGCATGTGTTCCCAAAAGCATCTTTAACACCCAGTTATTCTGGAGGAAAATACTCAAATCTTTACTAAAATACTATTAAGCACTTACAGGGTAGCTTCATCTTTCTGAAGGCCATACAAAAAAATGTGAAATCCTCACAACATCCCTGTGAGGTAGGTTTGACTTATGTAATTATGTGACTTTTTTCATAAATAAAAGATGATGCTGTTTAAATAGTCAATGCTTATTTGAACATGGTGAGATTGATTTCCTTGCTTAGGCACAAAATGTGTTGGTTGCTACCACGGGTTTCCAGCACACAGAATCATAGAACCACTATGGTTGGAAAGGACCTCTAGGATCATCAACATTTCCCTAACCACTAGGCCACAGGTCTCTTAGACCACATCTAAGAAGACAGAATGGCATAAAAAAGTAATGGAAATAATCAGATGTAACTGAAAACCAGCACTGAATCTGTTAAAGAGCAGTTCTAGGCTGAAAACTTACAGTATAGAAAACAGCATCAGGGGTTTCTAAGGCTGTAGGGCCTCAGTGGCCCCGGGTCAGCTCCTGCCCAATTGAAAAGTGACAAATGCTGTCTGAGTGGTCAACTTTGCAAATCAGTGTGTGACAAACTAAGGAGTCCTCCTGGCTTACAGAACTCTTACTCTCAACACCACTGACCCAGCCTGGTTCAGCAGTTCCTACTGGAGGAGAAAGCGGTGGCAAAGAAGGATCTTGCAGGTTCTGTCTGCCTTCAGGCCTATCAGGAAGCACATCACAGGCATCACTATCCAAAAAGGTACCACACAAAGGCCAAACAGTGGTCTGGGCTTTAGAGCAAATGACTAGGCCAACGGAGAGACGTGAAAACCTGAGGTCCCTTTGAACCGTGAATCTCAGAGCAGAAACTGGAAGGAACACAGGGAAGTGAGGAGTTTGATTCTGTGTGAAGCAGAAGGTACTTTGTTCAGTGAGTTCCAGCTTGGTCCCATAGCATGCAAGGTCAGAACAGGTTTCTTTCAAAGGAGATGACAGAAACATCTTCACACGTTGTATTTCAGCATGGGTCTATTAAAGTAACAGTGACTTATATTTGCTTTCATTTCACTGCTGTAGTCGCACAGGAACAAAAGCTTCCCTATAGAGCAATGACATCAAGGGCTTCTTCATGCCCTCTGAAAAGTACATGCTGCAAGTACCAGATGGGGATAAAATCAGTATCTCAGTTTTTTTTCCTCAGAGTCTCCAGGAACTACATCCCTCTCATGTCTAAGCACGTTGTGGCTATTTCATGCAAACGCTGCAGTGCTTTCCATGGCCACGCGCGAGCACCTTGGCCTGAACCATGGAGACTCCCTATCGGAGAACAGCAAAGCTTATTTCAAAAGCTGTCCAGGGTCAGATCTGGGGGGCTCACTTCCTTGAAGAATTCCCAGCTACTGAGGAGGTCTTGGAGGAGGTCATGCTCGTGTGACTCTTTTGGGAGCCTGCTGGCTGGGAGGGCGGTTTCTTTTTGACCACTGGAGTCTTGTTCTTGCTTTTAAACACCTTACCGGGGTCCAGCTTGTTCACAAAGGAATCGGCTTCTTCAGAGAGGAGAGCAGTGTTGATGGTTATGGGTTTATACATGTTAAACCATTGCTGAAAGGCAGGATGGCAGGGAAGGAAGACATTAAAATCAAACTGTAGTTAAGACATTCCCACCCTGTTCCCCTTCAACCCTGAGACCTGATTTTAACATACACCACTTACCAGTTTGGAGTTCATGGGACTGTGCAGAGTGCCTCGTGATAAGGATACACAAGGCTCAGCTACAGCTCTGGAACCGCCCCATGTTCCAGATGGGGAAGAGAGGAACCAGACCCAGGCTTAACACTACCTCTCCTGAAGTATAGCCCTTATCAGGAGCAACTCGTGGTTTAAACCACAGGAGGAAAAGCAAAGGAAGGGAGTGAAACTGAAACACGTTTATTTAGTGTGAGAGAAGCAGAGAAGATTAAAAAGCCCTGGAATTTAAAACTGCTTATAAATCAGAACCAAACTAGTTGAACTTCTCAAAATATGGTCTCCCTCCCTTTCTTTACACATGTAATAATGCAGGTTTTAAAACTCTTTACACAAAGGATTTTGTGTTTGTTTCTCTTCAGTCTGATTTTTATATCTGCAAGTAACCAGAATAATCTTTCTTTTTTTGATTCCCAGATGCCACCACAATGTTATGCCCTGCAGTTCTCACCTCTGAGTGTTTTTCCCATCAGTTTTCTATTGACAAAGTCAGGAAATAAAACTATAGGGGTTATGGTATTACAATTCCCACTGAAACCACCAGCAAAGTGTTGAGCAAGACAAACAAAAGATCAATACCAAAATGTAGATGGCAATCTATTCATGTGCTGCTTAGTGGAAAATAGCTTTAATATACCACCCTTGAGGACCTTTAAGAATGATAATGGTTAACATACTGGGAGGATTTTAACTAACAGGGGCTGCAAATGATTAGGGAATACATGAATCATTTCACTAACATTTGTGAATATGCTGAACATAATAAAATATTCCATCAGGGAAGTTACAGGAAGGCAGAGCACAGGCACATTCTAGAGTACCACGTACACAGCCTTGATTCACAAAACAAAGCACAGTATAACAGGGAAGACACCAGAAATAAAGAACCTAATTCTACAGCTATCGATAGATAGGAAGTCAGCAGTGATTTCAGTGAGTAGTTCTGGTGTCTGCACAGGGCTGAGGCAGGACCAAGGAATGCCATGCCACTAAAACAGTTGTCATGTGTGGGTGCAGTGCAGGACAGTCACTGAGACCTGGCAGGCCTTACCAGCACGACCAGACACTGCACAGGCTGATGTGCTGTGTTTGGTAGTACTGTCAGAACTGTCTCCTGACCCCTCACAAGCTGAGAGAGGGTTGAAGGCCCAGTCAAACACAGAGGAACTGAAGGAAGCTCTAAAAGTATGGATGTGTCAGAGCAGAATAGCAATCATAATAACAGCAAGGGGCTGGAATGGTCATGACACTGTACCCGAAGCTCTCCTATAACTACTTCTAGGACTGCTGGCATTTAAATTGCCCCTTTTTGCACACCATTTTTATCAAGACATCCCTTCATGACTGAGGAAGATGCAAAGGAGTTAATATTCTTGACAAGACTCAAGCTCATAGTCTTCTTCTGGGCTTCTGTCTAATGTTTACCTGGACCTTCCGCTCCACTCAGAGAGCAGTAGGCTCTTGTCTGGTGTTATGTCCAGAAAACTGATCTAGACAAATCTTACATAGCTGTGGGGATGAAGAGCTTTGCATCTCCTCACTTGTCAGCAGTTAATGGAAGCACACGTCTGCTTCAGAGTCAAGAAAGCAAAGAAATAGTTTGGGTTCCACCACCTGCTCTTAGAGGTCAAAGGTGAGAAAAGCAGGGTTAACACAACATTACTGAATTCACTCATATGAACCAATTACTGTTAACAGGTTATAAGGGAAGGCCTCATGGAGGCCCACTTGAGCCTACAAACTGCCCATCAAAAGGTGGGAAGAAGTTTTTCCAGTCTATACTTGTGGAAAACAGTGGCAAGATAGATCCTGCTGTCCTACCTTGGCCTGGGGGCTCACCCCGTAGCTAGTGAAGGCGTACTGCCACTGCGGGAGACCCAGGTGGGTAATGAGCAGGCGGTAGTAGGCTGTGAAGGTTTTGGTGAGGAAATGCCAATACAGAGCTCTGTCCAGGAACCAAATCTCTGTTTCTGGGGAGACAACTAGAACAAAGCAAACACAAATTACACTGTTACACCACGGTGACAAGATCAACCCCCAGCCATTGTCAGGTGGGAGATGCAACATATTTGTCAGAAAGGCTGCAGCTTCTAAAACACAGCATCCCTGACTAACACATGTGATTGTCCAGAGGCACTGTGGTTTAATGGTTAGATGATGGGGACTGAAAAGGACTTGGTTCTGCTCCCAGCCTTACTAAAAACACTCATGTCTGGTGAGACCCCACCTCCAGTACATCCAGTTCTGGAGCCCCCCTTACAAGAGGGACGGGGACCTGCTGGAGCGTGTCCAGAGAAGGGCCCCGAGAATGATCCGAGGGCTGGAGCAGCTCTCCTGTGAGGACAGACTGAGAGAGTTGGGGCTGGTCAGTCTGGAGAAGAGGAGGCTCCGAGGTGACCTTATTGTGGCCTTCCAGTATCTCAAGGGGGCCTACAAGAAAGCTGGGGAGGGACTTTTTAGGATATTGGGTAATGACAGGACTAGAGGGAATGCGGCAAAACTGGAAGTGGGCAGATTCAGGCTGGATGTGAGGAAGAAGTTCTTCACCATGAGAGTGGTGAGACCCTGGAATGGGTTGCCCAGGGAGGTGGTTGAGGCCCCATCCCTGGGGGTCTTTAAGGCCAGGCTGGATGAGGCTCTGGGCATCCTGATCTAGAGTGAGGTGTCCCTGCTCATGGCAGAGGGGTTGGAACTGGGTGACCCTTGTGGTCCCTTCCAGCCCTGACAGACTCTGATTCTGTTTTTGCAGAGGACTTAGTAGTGTTGGCTTAATGGTTGGACTTGATGATCTTAAAGGTCTCTTCCAACCTAAAGGATTCTATGATTCTAAGTCAATTGTCAGTCATCTGGATTACTGAATAGTTCAGAGTCTGGAAGTCATGACAACGTGCACTGCCAACAAAAACATTTTGCAAAATCTTTTGACAGCAATCAAATATTTCTCTGGTGGTGACATCCTTTGTAGCATAAAAGAAGTGATGTTACTTGGGAAACTGAGATGCTGAACATTGCAAACTAAAAACACTGCCCCTTGTACTGACATCAACACCTGTAAACAATGCACCCTCCCCTTGCACTGCACGTGCTGGAACACTTGGAACATAAGACTGTGAGGCAAGAGGAGAAGTAAGAAGTTTCTGCTTTGGGAGCTGTAGTCACATCCAATGAAAGACAAAAGACAACAACCAAAGAGTTTTCTTAAGAACAGGTTTATCACAATTGCACACCCCACCACAGTGAACACACATGGACACTTAGTGACCTGTGCTCTGTGTCATGACAACTGCTTTACAAGTGACTTGGTTGTTTTGCTATTTATTGACTGATAACAGTTTTCTGTGTATCTGGTCAGAAGAAACAGCTCAGCTCACATCTTTCACTCTTGTGTTCAACCCTTCCGGCCAAATTTTGACCTAGTTAGCATCTGCAGGCTCTGCATCCATGCACAAGGTGGAAGAACCAGTCTAAGTCTGTCTTAATCAGCTAAGGACCATTTTTACCATCTACCCTTTGCTTCTAAGGAGCGTTACACCCTTTCTCACCAAAATGTAAGGGAATTGTTATGAGACATGCAAGTAACCAGAGGTATGTTAGTGGCTAAGCTCTAGCTCTTGGAATTATGTCAGCGTGACTGTCTGTAGGTCATATGTGAATATTTCCCTGCTTCTATGCATGAAGAAATCATAACTCAGACTCCAACATTAAAAGGAGGGAAAATGTTAGCTCTGCCTTGGTCTCTGTAAAGTTTTGGCCCTGACTTTAGTGGGGACAGGATATCCTAGTAAATGTTCATTTACAAATTACAAAGAAGATCAGAAATGTAAGAAGATTCTACATGTGGCCTGCATATACAATGCACAAGAGACGACTAACTCTGCTCTTTTCAATCTTACCTGGTTTGGCGTGCTTATAAACAAGACAAACTTTCCCATTCCCACCACATGGATCCAGCTCAAAGATAAGACTACGAGAATCAAAGTGTGGTTTCTCTGGTTGGTCTTCATTACCTGAAAATAAAAAGAAAAAAAATCTTTATGAAACGTGTTTGGAAAAATGGCTCTGACTTGACTGCAGAAAGTGAATCTCTTCGATATTTATTAATAAACCAGCTGAGGAAGAAATAAATCAATTATTTTTATACTTCTTGGAAAGGATTAAGTTCCCTGTGTTTAAAAAAAAAAATAAAGTGAGAGATTTTTAATCTTCTGTAGGAAAAGAAATCAGAGTCAAAATCAGATGGCTGAAAAAAAGCCACCAAGCTGCCTCCTAGTCCTATCCAGGCAGAGAGCTAAATCAGATTTACACATGTCACTCCTGAGAGGTGTTTAATGTTCCCTTGAAGTTCTCCAGTGCTGGAGGTAATCAATCTCCAAGCAGCCAATCTAAAACTACTGTTAACACTTAGAAGTTTTCCTCATGTGGGTCCTGAATATTCCTTGTAGCTGAAGCCCATTATTACTTCTGTTCTATCCACCACCTCTTTTTTTGCCCTACTTTCTTTCTTTCTAAGGAGGACCGGGAGAACAGGTTATTCTTTTTCTCTTGATAGAAGGCTGCCCTGGTTTGGGGTAAATAGAGCTAGTTCTGCTCTGTGATTGTACTTTTTAGCTGAAGTTTTTCTAATTAACTGCTCTGTCTGAATTAGCAGTGTTTTCATAAACTGTCTGGCTGTAATAGTGTAGTGATAATACTTCATGTTTAGAGTTACTGCCAGGGACTGGTATGCAGAACAAGACCACTGCTGAGCTTGGATCCCACACGGAGTGGGGCAGAGAGTACACCGCACCTACGGGTAGGAGTGGACAGAATAACTGACCCCAAGATTCACCAGTGGAGTATTCAATCTTACAGCTGTCATAGCCAGTGAAGCTGGAGGAGCAGGGGGGGCAGCCCTTCCCTCGCCCCTTCCGCTCTTCTCTTCTTCTGTCTGCTGCTGCCGCTCGCTGCTTCTACTGCAGTGGATGGCATCTGAGGAGGACTTCATCCATCCTGCCTTTAATCTCAACTCCTGTGTTCCTGAAATGAGTTCCAGAATCCAGCTCCTGTGCCCAGCTGCTGTCTGTGGCTGAGTCCAGCCTGGGACCCTCTTCCTGGGGGCCTTCTCCCCACCCAGGGGTCACAGTGACGTGTTGCCATCAGGGGGGAGCTGGGTTTGGGACTAACTTTGTATATTTGTATATATTTGTACATAGCCTAATTTATTATCATTATTACTATTATTACTAGTGGTAGTATTAAAACTGTTTTCTGTTCTTTTCTAATCAACAAGTCTCTCTCTCTCTCTTATTCCCTTTCCCTTTCAGGGGTGGAGGGAGGGGATGGAGTGTCTGTTACAATTCTAAAAACTACCCTAACCCCAAATCACAACGAAGACCTTGATGAGCTTGTACATGTATACATTTCTTCACACATTCCAGTGTGACATCAGCATCCTTCTCAATAGCCACATGGTCTGCTTCGTATCCAACTTGTGACCCACAACCACCACAGAGCACTTCTACAGGACAGTTATGGATCATGCACTTGCAAGTTCTTGCAGAATATAATTTGGAATTCTAAAGGAATTCAAAAAATTTTTGGGGAAAAGGGGACATATGAGCTGTACTCTTCAGAAGAATTTTGCACTGAAGTCAGGATGAGCACTCTTGTGGGGACATAACTTTCTGTCAGCATACCTTGTGCATCAGTGGAGGTTTGCATGATTAAATGGAAGCAGAATTTGGCCCACTTCACTACAATGGCTAGAAGATCAGGACTGCAGCCAAGCTGGAACATACAAAAAGAAACTTCTAGCCACTTTTAGAAGCTACAAGAGCTATAGAGATTCAGAGATAAGACTGAAATCAAACAGCAATTTTTTAAGGAGTAAGCATGCCATCTGGCTCTGCTCTTCTTAATTCTTCCAGTCTTGTTCAACTGTAAGAATGCTGAGAAAAGGAGTAGGGTTTTTTTAAATTCTTTTTCTCTTCAAACTGCAGGATGCCCAGCATTTTTAGGCAGTCTGGAAACACACATTTTCCAATGCCACCTCATGCTTACATGTATTTTCCACAGTTACTTTTCCAATTTGAGGAGCATATCCAGCTGTCTTTCGTTGCCAAGACAAAAACTGTTATCTTTTGCTCATATAACACCGTAAGCACACGCAGACTTCAGAAGCTGAATCACCGGAGGAAGCCTCAGTTAAAAAATTAAATAGGGAAAAGGCAGAACAGGAAGGTTGCCAGGCTGCTTGAAGGGGATGCAAATAATACTAGCAGCTGGCAGCACTAACCATCCCCTGTGAGATTCACAGCATACAGATCTACCTGTAAAGGCTGTGATGAGCTAATAGGACATATAGTAGACCCAGCCCAACAAATAAAGAAAACCCAATTTGCTTGGAATGACCCGTTCTGTTGCTGTATCCTAATATTATCCTAACAGAGCAAAAAGGATGAGAGAGAGCATGTTTTCTAGCCCATTAAAAGGACCTTACCTTCCTCATCGGTGTCATCTTCCAGGTCAGCAAGAGTTGGTGCATTAGGCAGAGTGTACATAGAGGAACCCCCAAGCCGACAGAGCTTTGAGACACTGTTAATCACCATGGAGCCCAGGGGCATTGGAGTACCTGCAATAAGACTCATCATTAGTCACATCCAGGGTCAGGCAAACATCAGAGGTATTTTGCTCCACAGGAGCAAAGTTAGGCTTTTTCCAAACACAGACTCGCTTCAGAGCTGTGTGGGTATGCAAATTACACTATTGGCTAAGCCTGTGCTATGGCTGCTAGCCCAGTCTGTGAAACAGGTTATTAAAAATCCAGGTTGGCTACAGCCACCTCCTCAAAACACTTTTCCCTGCTGCTGTCCTTCCTGCCAGAAACCAGCATTCCCACTCACAGCTTATTGGGTAGCTCATCCATGCAGGACCACCCCATGAACCTGCTCAAGCTGCTCCCTCTTGGGTCCCACTCCAACACAGGATTTTGTCAGTGTTCCTGAACAAACACTTGAGAACTTGTCACTTGTCTCTCCTTCTGAGGACTAGTACTATTAACAGACATCAAGCCAACGAGCACCCTGTTCATCCACGTGCCATCATGAAGGGCCTCAGAAGGCACTGCTGGATGCTTGCCCCAAGGAGACAGCTATGTGAGCTGCCTTTGTCTCTGTGCACTGAGAACAAGACTCTTCAGAGGTCACAACACATTAATTCCCACTTGAAACTCGATGGGACTCAGTGCAGGGGCTACAGTCCTCATGTCAACTGTCTCTGAAAAGAAACTCCACTTCCTGAGGAAAACCCTGTGTTTGACATCCACCTCCAGAAGGGAGCAGTGTCCACAGCCCAATCTGACAACCCCACCTGAAGGCGATGAGAGCCAGGGTAATTGCTGCAGAGCTCCACTGCAGAGTGAACAAGCTGCATGATTCTTGCCAAACAGGGAGGGACAGTAAAGCTCAGTCCTCGTCCCACTTCCACCACGGACTCCAGAAATAACTCCAGTGAATGGACTGTAGCTGGTGGGAAGCAGAATCAGGCTCCAGCATGCACATACACTTTTTAATGAGAAAGAGGCATTACCAGAGGGTGACTCCTCTTACTGCTTTATGGTCAGATAACATGCTAGAGTGATTTCTCTCTCCCTAAACTACAGAGGGAATCTAGGTATGAGATTTCAACTATATACCTAAACCTGGGTGTCAACAGATGGCCAGTGTACTACAGAGTGGTATTTATGTCATGAAGACTTGTCTGGCTTCTAGCCAGTGTTCAGTGTATGCATCTCTTCTGTGGAAGTCCAGCACATGCAAGCAATAGGCTTTGCTTCATTACACCAGGAAGAGACCTCTGATGTGCAATCATATTTTTTCCTCACCAGAACATCTCCAAAATAGTCTATGATCCTATGCAGAACTACACTCACTTACTAATTGGGAGGTCTGTTTTCTGTGGTCACTCACCAAGCTGCCTAGCACAAATAAGCTCTACTTCTTTTGTGTGTTAAGGAATGGTGCTAATTTTTCATTCAAAATGACTTGGCACATGTGCTTTTGCTCAGACTAATGCATGAAACTGACAGGCGTGTATTGACTGTGCAGAAAGTAAGTATGAAAAAAGAGATTCTGCAAAGGAAAGACTGGCTGCAATGGGATGAGGGTATTATTGGAGAAGAATACATGGACTTACCATCAGTCTTCACACTCCAGGTCATCTGGAAGCCATCAGTCATCAGATAGAAGTTCTTCAAATCCTCTGGCAATATACATGAGTTTTTCTGCAATCCACAGTCAAAGTGTTAAGGGAAAATGCAGAATATGCCTCAAACCCAAAGAAAACTGAATATTTATACAGAAATATTTGCCACCAAATGTTTTTTGCTTAATTCCAAGATGACTCAAATAATCTCAAATATCTTATCCTAAACTGTTAAGAGAAAACTGCATATTTCTTGTATAATATTAGCAAAAATGACTCCCTCCTTTTGAGGGATTTCAGTTCCAATTTGGTGAGAAAAGCATAGAGTCAATAGCTGCAGACAATCAAGCAGGTTTGACGTTTCTCATGAACAGTATGTGTGCAAATACACAAAGCCAGTCTCAAAAGCCTGCTGGTCTGGTGTCATCCCACCAAACTTCAGCACTTGGCTGTGGCTGCTAAGCCTGCTTCCTTCTGAGCCAACAATGAAAGAAGAAATGCCAGACAGTGCTTCTAAGAACCACGGCCCTTCTCCTCAACCTGCCTTCGCTGCGGAAGGAGCCTTTCTTAATCAGACTCTTCAGCTATGCAACAGATATGAGGAACGAAGGATAAGGGCTTAATGCTGAGAACAACAAGAAGACCAAAGAGCTACAGGCACAATTATAGACACTGCTTCTGGTGACAGGACTAGGGGCAGGCCAGTCACCTCCTGCTGATGTATCAAGAACATAAAATGAAACAGTACAGAAGCCTGTCAGTTTTAAGAACACAAGCAACATGCATGACTGAAGGATTTATCTGCTGGGCTCTTTTGCAATTGTTTTAGATGAAAAAAAGGTTGAGGAAAGATTGAAGTGAGTTAACATTTAAAGTATCATCAAATTCAAGACACCAAAACATCAGACCCCAAAAGTCAGGATAGTCTCTGATGGTGCAGGTTCCACCACCTCTGGGCTGTGCTGCTGTAAGAGACTGGGCACTGGATTATGTCTCAGCATTGTTGGCAGGACCACAGTTCCACCCTGCAGAAGTCTGCGCCTTGTTGTGCAGGTGCCACATGGGCCTCGTCACTGTGGCAACTAAAAGTTGCTGAAAGGAGTTCTGTGACCTCAGTCCTCTGTGTGAGCACCCGGGCCCAGAGTCACCTCTGGCAGGGCTCAGACCCTGGGCAGCGCAGCACCGCAGAGCGGGGGCCCTGCGGATGGGGAGCTGGGGGCTGTGAGAGGCACAGCTGTGTAAAGCGGGGCATGTGAAGCTGGGGGCTGTGAGAGGCATGGCTGTGTAAAGCAGGGCACGGGAAGCTGGGGGCTGTGAGAGGCATGGCTGTGTAAAGCAGGGGTGTCTCCTCTCCATAGAAGCAGGACCAGTGAGGACGGGAGGTGCCCTCCTCTCAGAGTGGAACACTGCCACCGGAGCGATGGGGCCCGTGGGACGCCGCAGATCCGCGCGGGCGGCGAGCTCAGCTCTGTCCTTCCCGCGTGCTCTCCCCCTCCCCTCCTTCTGCTCTCTCCAGCCTGTTGCTGGTGGGCAATTAATCGGTTTGGCGCTTTACTCTGTTTGGAGTCTGAATTCTGCTCCTGAGAATACAAGTGAAAACCTCGCTCTGGACCCATTGGCAGAGACATTTGCCCAAGGGCTGCACCACTCTCCTTCTGAAAAAGTTCTAATTGCGGTTTGAACCTCCAAGCTGCAACTTGTGGTCATTCTCTCTTTTCAGTCCCAAGTGCTTTCAAGTCTGCTCAGGAACAAAGACACAAATAAACCCCTCGAGGGTCAAACCTTGTCATTAAACCAGGAGGATAGACAACTGCTTCTTTAAAATGTTAATCTAAGACCTGTTTATAACTACAGGACCCTGGGAGCTACATTTGACAGGGAAAATGGACAAATAATGTGAGCTTTGCAACACAGCATGTCTAATTCAAGTACTTTTGTGATAAGATTTTCAGTCTTTTCTAAAAAAGCTCTATTTCTTTTGTCCAGCCAGCTTTAAAGACATGCTGTTGGACATGGTCTGCTCTTTGTGCAGTGACTTTCACACTCAAAGTAAGAAAAGAATTGCAAACTTTAAGCACGTTTATAGGTTGGAGGTACTGTGCCTTATATATACACTTAACTTGCCACAGATCAAGATGTTATTTAGGTAGGTATTCACAGCCTGGCCTCAGAAGCCTGAGGTGGTTTTGGAGCTGTTACAGAATCGCTTTGGAGAAAGCAGAGGTGTCAGATGTTAAGAGCTTTCCAACATTGTGCCTCTGCTGGTACTACTGCCCTACAGCTAGTAGAAAATGTAATATTCGAAGTCTCATAAAACTAAGGAACTTCTGGTAACCAGTAGCTAAGGTAAAAAAACATGCACATGCAGTTCATGTAGCTCTGCTTCACTTGGGGCATGAATCTGTAACACCTCAGGAGATGCTGCAGAGATTCTTTCCCATGTCTGCAGCTTGTGCATGTCCAGTTATCTGCCCTGATGCTGCCTCAGTGCATCTACCCAGCAGGAGCTACCTGCCAGCTGGCCATCCAGCTGCAGTGCTGGCCTCTGGTCACCGGTGACTGGCACAAGAAATGGAACATGCTGGTCTCCTGTCCACATCCTCCCCAACCTAGGACCAGGGCAGAGATTTTGCCTGTAAAGCCTCATTCACAGCCACTTTCTTTGAGTTGTTACAGTCCCTGTCCCATGAACTGTGATGTGTATGAGGTGCAGGACCCTCCAAACTGTTCACAGACTTTATTCTTGCGTGTTAACTCAATCTCTAAGCATAGCCCATTTATGCTGACAGACTGCTACTGACAAGTCCCAGATACTGATGGTTTTGCAGCTTGTGATCAAGCAGGGCAGGTCACTTTGCTTACCCTGTCAGCTGCCTGGTTGCTAGCACAGTGCTTTCCTAACCCAGGCAGGGAAAAATCTTTGGAGGCAAGAGATACTAAAGCACAGAATCTGATACTGTAGAAACTTTGTTTTGAGAAAAAAATTATTGTCCTTTGATAAGAGCCTGCTGATGGCCGAGGCCCTGGTGGTTAATTTCAGGAGATTACTAAACCACATGGACATATCTGAAGTTCTTCAAATACCTTTAAAAAACACACCTTCTTCTGTGGGTTCTTCTCAGTCCTAAATATTTATAATTTTGTGCTGTGCTTTCACCACTTCCAGTTTCAAGCTATAGCTGTAAGCAGTGACTAGGTTTAAAACCATGAAGAAACAAAAAAGGCCTACATGGCCTCAGAAGACTTCAAATGTTTACACAGCCCTTTCAGTCCATTTCAAGCCCCCCAATTTTAATTAGTCTTTAATCCCTTTAATTTTAATTAAACCCCAGCATTAGAAATACATACACAAACAGCTCTCTTGAAGTCAGTGTGTGTTATCCTCTGTGGAGGAGAACCAGATCCATTGGGATGCTAAAATTTGAGATTTTAAAACTTCCACTGAGGTATCCAGTTAAATACTATTACAAACCAGGCACAGCCCAATTTAGCAAACATAGCTGATTAAGAACAAGGGGAAAAAAAAAGTAATGCCTAGATAAGCCTTCTGCTCTGAACTGTCCTTTTTTGGATGGAAAGATTAACTTGTACATGTTTCTCCAAATGGCTACCTTTCCCAGTTTATTTTAGGATCTTCCTAACCATGCCCCTTTGCATGACTTTAAAAATGATGGTACAAAACGCTGTACCAGAGCATATTTTGGGTCTACAGGAAAAGACCTCCACAGAAAGCTTCTGTGATATCCATCTCTCCCAATAAAAAAAAATAATTGATTGATTGATTGATATGTCCTATTACGTTCAGCCACACGACCTATGACATCAATACAGTGGTCTTCTGACAGCAGAGACAGAGATTTAAGCCACTACTGTATATTAAAAATGGCTTCTCAAAGCTCTGTGCTGCTCCTGCTCAACTGGCAGTTTCCAGGGTTGCGACCTCCAGGCCCACAGAATGCAATATACCTGATAACGTGCCACAAGTGACTTAGCCACAGCACTGGCAAGCAGCTGTTTGCACTCCAGTCATCTGGTTACACTCATCAGCTTGTAAAACAAAATATCCCAAGTGCCCAGTGTGGTGTGTGAGGTCTGCTTCTTTTGTTTATTGTCCCTAATACCCCCAAATAGTCTCCTATGAAAGCACAGCCCATTGAGGATAAAGACTATCAGAACCAGGGTAGTTTTGTTGCCAAGATATGATCAACACTGGATCCAGAGCTAAAACACTGACATATGGCAACTCACTTAAAGTACTGTTGAAGCAATGCCTTCCAAGCAAATACCCCAAAGAAATGGACAGCAATCAAAACACAGAGCTCTAGAGACTTCTCTAAAAAACTCAGTGACTTTTATCCAACTTCTGGGGAAAGAATGAAGGGATTTATGCCACTTCTCAGAGCTTCCAAGTAGCAGAGCACATCAGCAGCCACCTCCCCTTCACACCGTGCTGTTTCATGGCTTGTCTGCCCTAGCTGCCAGTGAGTGCAGGTATTCATTTATGTAACATACTGAGATGTTCTTGTTACAGCTTTTATAAATCTGAGGAGGCTTCCAGGAGACCACTTTGCTTGAATTTTCTGCCTTGAAAGGCAAGGGGCTGGGGTAGCCCTGATCCCCTGCTGCAGAGAACAGGACTTGGCAATGTTCCTGAGGATGGCCTTGTGCAGCCAGTTTTTAACCAGAATACTACAAGGACCCTCAGGAGGGGAGCACTGTGTCAGGAACACTTCCTATTTCCCAAAAGTCCTCCAGCCTCTCCCTCGTTACGTAGCTTGAAGAAATACACCTTCCTCATGCACTTGTTCTGCTGGATCCATTTCCCCACCTCTCCCATGATCAGGGACATAAGACAGGTTCAAGATGGGCAGATCCTGTGCTCCTGGGGATCAGACATGGCAAGCTTGCCTAATGCTGATGGAGGACATTGCAGGGAGGATGGCAAGAAGGACCCTTGTGGATACACACACACCTGCATGCATACTTTTGAGTGAAAGAGATATGGCAGAAGCACTGAGGAAGACTTTTAGAACAGCCACACCACCACAGCTCACACTGAAATTTACATGCAAACAGAATTTCTAAATTGTCTGGCAATCTACAACAGTCTGCAACAGGAAAGCACCAGAATGACTGAGGTCTTTTTTTATGGTTTTCTTAGAGAAAAATATATCTTTGTAGACAAAGCCCATAAGGAGAGGCAATAAATTCCCCATGTAGAGTTGCAGAACATCAAAAATGGCTTCTAGAATAAAAACGTGTTTTTTAAAAAAGATATTTAAGACTAGAATTTTATTTGGGGAGCCTCAATGAAGAGAGGAGTTTTGGTGAAAAAGAATGTAATTTTGGGAATAGTTTGACCAGTTTTCCCTACATCACATAAATGCCTTGCACATACTTTCACAACCAAAGACATACAGAGGGATTAAAAACAGACTGTGAGGAGAACTTGTTAAAATCCCAGCTACAGAGAAACGATTATGTGCATAAGTATTGCCACCTAGTGGCTACAAAAAAAAAATCCAAAACATAACAGTGATGAAAGCAAACATTGGGTACAGATAAACTTCTATTCAAATTCAAGGATGAGTTTGAGGAAAAGTGAAGTACAAGTTCATCTTGGAAAGGCCTTATGAGGTTCTAAGTGCTTTGCACTTAATCATCCCTGTAGGACATACTGCAATTGCAGGGAGATCAGACTTCACCCCTAAAGCTCAAGAACAAAGGAGAAAGAACATAGTTATCTTTTAATCTGAGAAGGGAGTTTTCAGTTTTTGTTAATGCAATTGGAACAAAAAGCAAAGAAATAGACAGTGAAGTCCTTCACCAGCAGCAGTCCAGATCAACTGTATCTACTTAATTTTCATCATTTACTTCCACAATTAAGTTAGTCCCTCACTGGGGCCAGGGTGAGCTGAAGTTTCGTTCTGACACCTTTGGAGCAAAGTGCTTTGGCTGCAGCATTTCAAAGTCTGGCTTTACAAGAACAGCTCAATTTTGAAACACAGCCAGTTTAGTTGAGAGGAGCAGTGGCACCCTAGAACAAGGGAAATACCTTGTTCAGGAGAAGCAGTGCTCCCCACTCAGCAGCAGAATGACTGAATGCCACTCTGCTGCTCCCAGACACGAGCTGGCTCACAGTCAGGGTGCCTCAGGCCTCCCAGCCCAGTTAATCTGACACCTGAACAACAGCTCCAGGAAAGCAGGGATCAGTTCACATGAACCTGAAAAACAGGACATTTCTGCCTGACCACAGTCTCTGGCTACAGTACAAGTTTCAGTAAGTAACAGACACTTACATCACACACATTCTGACCTGGATTTATAAACTCTTCATAAATATCACTAATGGGGATAAGGTGTTACCAAAACTCGTGAGAGATTTTTCCTTATTGTTTAGGAAGAACTGTAAATGGCAAAGCACCATCAAAGCAGAAGTTATTTTATGTAGTGGGAACAAGTGCAGTTTCTGGGAGCACGTGTGTTAGGGCTTAGCCAGGGTCAGAGCAGAGGGGAGGATGATCCACTCGACTCCATCCCCTGCCATGCTCCTTTCCAAAGCCAGTCAAGCTTCCACTGTCCCTTTCCTACGTATGAGAGATACTTAGAAAAGCAGTTATACTCCTATGATTGTGGGATTGATAAACTCATATATATTCAAAAAGAGGACCAAAAATGTCTTCTCTGCCCACCAGAGTCCCATGACAATATTCAGGAGCTCTCTGGTCATGCATTCAGATGCAGGAAGGTCAGCTAATGTGGGGTGAAGGTAGCATGTGTCCTTCACAGTCTTCTAAAATAGGCATTGGGACACTCTTTGACCAAGACATTTGTTCAGTTAGCCAGAGGCAGGGGAAGGAGTTGCTGTAAGGAATGGAAGTGAATAGCTCCACTGTGTGCTGAACTTGGTAGCAGGCTGTCTCACAAACAAGCACATGACAGCTATTGCATTTGATGTTCTCCACGAGCTGCTGTACGTTCAGTCTGACCTCACTGCAGTATTATCACTAAAATACTCACTTGCTCCCATGAAATGATAGTGTGGGGTTCAGCTGGCTCCTTTTCTACAAACGTCACCTCGGCAACTCCTGGAGAAGTCTCTAAAAGGAAAAGAGGAACATGTTTGCAGCTGGCACGGGTGACACCCACACTGTGAGCTGGACAGTTCTGCAAGTTACCCTGACTGACAGCTGGGGAAAAGGCAGTAATGACTCTGAGCACTGTGCTGACGACTGAGCAGTCACTTTTCTTTCCTCTGTAACTGTACTCAGCATGTCTTGGCCTGGGGATGCCCACGGCTGCACAAGGTGCCATCCTTTGGCAGTTTTTATAGATACACATACACATATACACACACACACATATTTTGTACTCATGGTGTGATCTTTTGCAGAGGATTAGTAGAAAATTCAAACACGGGTTCCCAAGCAAACTCTAAAAGTGAGATGAATCTTTCTCTGTAAGCATGCCCTTTGGTTTCAGTTGAGTAGGATATTCTCAGCTTGACACAAGATGTTGTGCTGTGCTGCTGTGAATTGCAAACAACCTTGCTCCATGCAGATGGACACACTTGAGAGCTGGATTCAGTGGGTTTGAACAGATGCAGAATCTGATCCAGACGCAGAAGGGATCTGCATGAGCAAACATCAGTTCTCTGGAATCCCAGCTGGACATATGCAAATCTGTTAGGAGCACTGAGCTCATAATTTATAAAAAATCATCTGAATACTTTATGGGAAACAATGCCACATAAATGCAAGATGCAGATCTGCATGGTGCTATCCTTGCAGGTGTACGATGGCGGAACAGTCTCCCGTGCACTTATTATTTTATAATGTTTTCCTCTTCCTACAGCCAGCTGAGATAGTTCCCACTGACTTCATTCACTTTGGATCAGATCCAGAAAGACTACTAACTTGTTGTTGTGGGAACTGCAAGCCCAGCACACAGGGCCATGGAATAAAACTGATCACTATGCAGGGCTTTCAAAACCGGCTCTGCTGTGAAAGTATTGGATCCCAAAGCAGTCACACATAAAATAATTGCTTTCTGGTAAAACATACACAGTGCACTAGACAGGAAAGGCAGGCAGTACAGAGCTTTGGTTTGTTTTTTATCTCCAGCACTGTAGTAGTGTTAATTAGTTTAATTCCAGCAGCAGTGTTGCCATTTTCTGTTCTGTTGGTGGAAGAGCAGCAGGCAGTTTCAGGAATCCTAAATTTCACTTTAATTTGGAGTATTGACTGGTACATGGTCAGATAATTTAAAAGACAAAACAAATGCCATGTTCAAGTTGGGGGAAAAAAAAAGGTCATATGAGGTCACCTAGGTAATCTATCTATCTGGCCAAGGGCAGCCCCAACATACAGAAGAGACTGATGTCTTGTCAAGTGTCACTTTCGACAGGTAGGTGCAAGGTGGTGGGATCTGTCTCTTGCTGGAATATAAATCGAGCTTATATTCCACCACTCTGCTTCTAAAGAAGAGTGTGGAATCAATGATCTAACTGTTCTTTCCCATCTAAGCTACTCAAGCCTTATGACAAGTTAAGAGATGATACGGAACAGAGTAATTGTTATTTCTGTGATCAAAGGAAACAGCAGGGATGTTTAATTCATTATGCACAATGGCTCGGCTGGGATGAGGGAAGATTAAATACCCCATCAGCCAAAGAAGATGCCTAAGAACGAGAGAACTGCAACTTCTAAAGAGATCTGAACCAAAACCACGATCAAAAGAAACAGAAATTCTGTCTTAGAAGCCTGAATGTTATATTGAAAATATCCTGTGGGTAAACTGCAGACCACATTTAACAGATGTGTGTATGTACGGACAGGAGCTCAATTAAATTTTAATGAGGAAAAGAAGTCTGCCATGAGTTCCTTTTTCTTCCAGATGCAAGAAATAAAGGAGCCACCTAGGTTAGACAAAAGAGACAGGGTAAAGGTTAACTAGTTCAGGTGACTCCTCCCTATTAACTATTCTGAATCAAGACCACAGTAAACTCTGGCCTAATTTTAAGGATATTTCATCTGGAAGCTTCCAAAAATGCTTTGTAGTATTAATCAGAAAGAATGGATGTAATGGTGTGACACAAAGCTGAAGCAGAAAACCAGAGAGTTTTCAGTCCTTATGGTACTGCTAATATCACCTATAAGTTGGATTAACTCTCAGGATCACTTAAAAATGTCTAAATAGTTGCATTCTGATCTAATAAAGTCTGTAAACTGTGAAGTATGGTTCTGCTCTGGGCAGTCCAGAACAGCTAACACCTCCCATTCAGATTTAGTTGTGAGCAATCAACCTTTCTGGAATCTGCTGTTAGTCACAGAACCTCAGCAAAATGAATCATACTGGCAATGGGAAAGATGCATCTCTTACTCCCTCAAATTACAACTTCCATAAAGCTTGCAAGAAATGTCCCACCTTGTAGGGATTTCCACAGACAGGAGGATTTAAAACCCCCAAACAACACCTTCCCACCACCCCCAACCTCAGGTACAGAATTTGTTTAAAGAGTGCGTTTTGAAATGGCACCACAAATATATGTTCATAAAGGTACTGGAAAATTTGGCCTCAAGCTCCCATATACTGTGCATGCAAAATTTTCTTGCTTAAAAGGGGTATGATGGGTTTCATTACGTGATCATTTCTATCTCCTGAAAAAACGTTTCACAAACTCAACAGAGTTAAAAGCCTATTACTGCTTTTGTCTTGCTGCAGGCAGAAAAGTATCTAGTGACTTCATGAGATTTCCCAATGGAAGACTTAAAATAAGACAGTTTCCAATGCTGCAAACCACTGAGTAAGGCATCTTTCTGAATGAGGTACCCCATGTCATGTGAAAGAATCAAACACTGAACAGATTGGTAACGTTTCTCAATTAATTCAGCAAGTGTAATTAATATGGTGGCACAATGTACATGCTTTGGACTACTTTACTGAGAAAAGATGTGCAAAATTCCCAGGAGTGGAGAAATGGAGGAAAAAAACAGAGCAGAATATCATTGTATTGTACGGTGCAAGTGGACAGAGATACAGGTGGGAAAACGAAACCTCACAGTTACAAACCACAAAACACCTTCCATGTGGAAGGGATGCTACAGGACTTTCAGAGCCAAACCTGCATTGCCATGTCTTGCTGCTGCAGTGAACAACACAACTACCCAAAATATCTTATATAGCAACGTTACTTTTAGATATAATTATCGTGTAGATTTCATACATCTGAGCCTGTGTAGTTTAAATGTGGGCAGGGCTTGTAAATTTTTAAAATGAGCTACTTCAAAGAAGCATTTGCCATGATGGTTGATCATCAATAGTTTCACCTTCTTTATGCCCTCACAGAATAGGGTTACACTATCCTGACCTCACGACCAGAAAGCAAAAAAACCCAACAAACAGAAGAAATCTCCAAGAAATCAAATAAGTCAGTAAGAGAACACTGTGGAGCAGTGACAGATTGAGGATGAAGTCCTGTCTTCACTGAAGCCCACAACAAGAATTCTGCCCCTATGTTTTAATCACAGCTGTCTGAGGAGTTACCTATATTTGCAGCAGTACAGCTACCCTACACCTTGCATATCACAATATTACAAATCGCAGTTCCAGAACTCTTCCTAGGCAATCTTTAAGTGACCTCTGCAACTAGCTCACTCAGGCACTGTATGGCAGGATGGTGAGTTTCATCTGGTAACCTAAGGTTTGTCTTAGAAGGCTCACTTTCAGAAGCTG